GCCAGCTGAAGAACCTCACAGGGAGTCTGGGGAGCGGCGAGGACAAGGGGGACGGGGAGAAGGCGGCGGCCGAAGCGCAGGGCATGAGCAAAGAGGAGTACGAGGAGTATCAGAAGCAACTGGTAGAAGAGAAGTAAGTGGGGCCCCTTCCCGGCTCCAACAATACCCCTCGCAGCCTCCTCGCCGGCCCCCAGGCCAGCCTCAGGCCCCGAGCCCCCCCTCCTCTTTTCCTAGACGCGATAAGAGGATAAGAGACTGGGATGTGCCCTCCAGGTTGCTCCTAGCGCCAAGCCCATCTCAAACCCAAGACCCCGCCCCAGTTTCATAATGGGTCCCAGAGGGAGTGGGGGCAGGGGCAGGAGCGACAGGGGTCTGGGATGGGGTGGGGGGAGCACGTGAATTTCTGACGAAACAAGTAATCCCTTAATCCTCTCTGGTCCCAGCCGCCTGGGTCTTCCAACTGGGGCTCCTCTAAGCCTGCAGTTCTGAGAAAAGAGGTTCAGCTGAGGGGCATTTAGAGTCACCGAGGCAGATCCTGACATGGGGACACTCATAGACCTTGAACCTACTTGTGTGCCAGCTGTGCTGGGACAGAGAGGCAGTCGGAGTGGAGTTACGGGCTGGACTCTGGAGCTAGGTTGCTTGGGTTCAGATCTTGGCTTTGCTTCTTATTAGCTGGATGACTTTAGGCAAGTTACATAACCTTTCTGTGCCTCAGTTTCCTCTTTTGTAAGATGAGGATGGTAATCATATTTTCTTAAATTTAATAAGAAATCTAAATAATATTTTTTTAAAAAAATGTTGCCATTGAGTAACTGACTCATGGCAACTCCATGTGCTTCAGAGTAGAAATGTGCTCCATAGAGTTTTCAGTGGCTGATTTTTCTGGAGTAAATCACCAGGCCTTTCTTCCAAGGTGCCTCCGGGTGGACTTGAACCTCCAACCTTTCGGTTAACAGACAAATTTGTTAACCGTTGGCACCACCAAGGAACTCAATATTACATACTTTATATATTTTGAGAATTAAATGACTTAATGCTTGTAAACCACTTAGCACAACGACTGGCACATGGTAGATCCTCACTAACTGTAAGCCATTATTATTTCACTTAATCATCATAACAGTCTTGTGAGTTGTGAAAACTTACCCTCATTTTACAGAAGAGGAAAGTGACTTACCCAAGAACGTACTGAAAGTGGTAGTGGAGCCAGACGCGAAACCAAGTCTGTCCCAATTACTTTCCCTGACACAGCCTGTCAGGGATGAGAAAAGACAGACCAAGTCAGAGGCCCCGAGGGACATATATCAGGGTCTGCAAAGAGTTACATAGACAGACATCCCCCACCCAGCCAGCTCCATCCAGCAGCGGGTGTGAGGACCACAAAGGGTGCTGGCATGGGGGTAGAGGCAGCAAAGACTGGTCGTGTTTGGCCAGAGAGGAGGCCCCTGTTGACCCACTGGCCCACCGGATGGAGGGATTCTACAGCGGTCAGGACGTGGAGATCCCCCCCCCCATTTCCTCGCAGACCCCGCCCTCGCGATGACTGCACCCCCCATCCCTCCTCCCCCCACCCCGGTGCCCCGGCAGGATGGAGCGGGACGCTCAGTTCGCACAAAGGAAAGCAGAGCGAGCCACGCTGCGGAGCCACTTCCGAGACAAATACCGGCTGCCCAAGGTAAGCAGGGCCGCGATCCTGAGCCCTGGGCTCAGGACTTCTTTGCTCCACTCCGGGGGCTGCATTTCTCAGCCTGTAAGTTTCACAGGGTGCTGGGTTCGACCCTTCGTTCTCTCACTCATTCATTCATTTGTTCATTCCTTCATTCACTCACCCACGGTTAACTAGGGCCCAGCAAGGGCCAGGCCATGGCTTGGTGCCAGGGGAAGCCTCCACAGGCCGATGGGTTTGTGTGTCCGGAGCCAGGCCAGGCCCCTTCTCTCCTCCACACTCCCGGTCAGGCCTGGGCAGATGAAGGCCAGGAGGGCCAGGGTCTGTGGATGAGGCAGAAGGCAGTAGATTTTACCCCAGAAGTGAGTGCGCTTGAGGTTTCTGAACACACAGGGAGAGCAGGGTCCAGGAGAGAAGGCAGCACCCTCTGAGTGCCAGGCGTTTGACCTTTACCCCTGCAGTTAACCCCTCCAATAACATGGCCAGGTAGAGATCACCCACAGCTACAAGTGAGGAAACTGAGACTCAGCAAGATTAACGGACTTGACCAAGTTCATTCAGCCAGTGAGTGGTGAAGCTGGGATGGGAGCTCAAGCCTGTGCATACTGAACATGCGCTTGCTCCAGGTCCCCAGGCTGCTTCCCAGGGTATGGGGTCTGCCTGCAGAGAACAAAGTACCTCCTTGGTTTGCCAAGCAGCCAGGGAGGATGTCTCAGGAGACTCTGGCCTCTATGCTTCTGTAGGCACTGCGGCACCAGACAGGTTTGTTAAGTGTTCTACTCCCATTGCCTCAGGAGGGAAACCGAGGCACTGCAACTCTCAGAGCATTGCCTTGTGCCCAGAACTGTGCTAGACTCTGAGCGGAAACAGAAGGACAGTGATACAGCACTCCTGACCTTGATCTGCCACTTGAATTGGAAGATCAGATATGTGGACAGCACATTGATTCATTCAACAAGTGTTTACTGAGCCCCTGGCTGCCTCTGTCTTCCCCCAGGGCACCAGTCCTTTTGAAGTCTCTCAAAGGGAACTGGTCCAGACTTAATGGTTTGACTGAGACTGGAGGGACCCCAGAAGACATGGCCCCCAG